GGATCATCTGAACACAGGAAACAGATCATCTGAACACAGGAAACAGATCATCTGAACACAGGAAACAGATCATCTGAACACAGGAAACAGATCATCTGAACACAGGAAACGGATCATCTGAACACAGGAAAGATCATCTGAACACAGGAAACAGTTAATCTGAACACAGGAAACAGTTAATCTGAACACAGACAGGAAACAGATCATCTGAACACAGACAGGAAACAGATCATCTGAACACAGGAAACAGATCATCTGAACACAGGAAACACATCATCTGAACACAGGAAACAGTTAATCTGAACACAGACAGGAAACAGATAATCTGAACACAGGAAACAGATCATCTGAACACAGGAAACAGTTCGTCTGAACACAGGAAACAGATCATCTGAACACAGGAAACAGATCATCTGAACACAGACAGGAAACAGTTAATCTGAACACAGGAAACAGTTAATCTGAACACAGGAAACAGTTGATCTGAACACAGGAAACAGTTGATCTGAACACAGGAAACAGTTGATCTGAACACAGACAGGAAACAGATGTTTCTGTAACTGAATCCTGTAAATGGACCAGATGAACTTGGTCGTTCTGCTGGCAGCAGACTCAGTGTCATGTTACCCACAGTTTGCTCTCTGTGGTCACTAACAGGCCTGCAAATCCACTTTGAGACATCAGTTTGGGTTTTATCTGTACTTAGGAGCCTTTTTATCCAAACAGAATCAGCCAGTTATGGTTATAATGGTGGAAAAAGGATTCTGGTCTTTTTGTTGATAGAAAACTATTAAAATCACAAAATAAAACTTAATGACATATAAATCATTTATAATCCGATTAGAGAAAAAATTATGTTTAAAACATTTACTTGCTGCAGAATAAAACAGGTACATTTGAAAGGTAATTCTGGGTCAGTATTTATGATGTTACTGGACTCATATTTTTGTACTTTTTTCATGTTTGAAGTTAAACTTATTACAGAAACATTTGGTATAGTTATAAAACAAAATATGACTTTCAGATAAATGATTTATATTAGGAAATATTTAGATCTCAGTCTGTGTTTTCTGACAGGAMGTCTAGTTGAAATCTCACGTTGAGAAGGTTCTGCAGGTCGATGCTGTCCTGGATGCGTCCCTCCTGCCGGGCTTTAGAGGCCAGGTTGGAGAACCAAACCACGGGGATCCAGTACTTCAGGTGAGGAGAACGAATGTTCTCAAACACCTTCCTCTCCTCTGGAGTCATGAACCCTGCAGACAGACAGAGGGATGACTCACAACCTGAAGTCTGAAACGTTGAAATCTGGCAGTGAAAGAAAAACAAACTGTTGACTGGAACTTATTTTCTGTTAAATTTTCTCCAACGTTGTGAAAATAAACAGACATTTGGCTCATCTCCTGATTCCATCTGCAGCCATCAGTCCTGCTCTAATCAGCTGATAATGATCCCTAATGTCCCACCAGCCGGGCACAGGGAGACACAGGAAGTAGAGACAGGAACACAACCTGCTTCCACCACGTGGTCGATGGTCGGGAAGCGTTTGCAGACCGCCGTGCTGACGGAGCGGAAGATCAGGAGCGACGTCAGGTTCACGTAACGCACCAGCGTCCTGCGCAAGAGGCGGCCGTATTCATCCTTACCGTGGACGCAGCTGCGGGAAGCAGAAGACACCAGCATTTGAAGACATTTTGACACACTGTCCTCATGTTTCGGTAGAGATGGCTAAAGTCTAACCTTTGGGAAACAAAAATATCTAAGCCCCACCCCCTCCTGTGTGACCCTCTGATCCCAGTTGTGTCCTTTTCCTTCTGTTGTACAAACTTTATGCACATGCTCCACGTCATGTTTCCTGTTTTYGGTGTGTGTTTTGTCTCGGTCACAGCGCCACTCGCAGGCCTGGAGGACTCACTACACTCAGAGTTTTTATACGGATGAAAAAATGAACTAAATCTGTAATAATTTCCTGTTCTAATGGGATCTAAAGCTAAATGTTGCTGTTGGGTTTCTGAAAACTAACATTATTATTTATTTATAAATGTTTGGAGCAAGTTGTGTTTTTATTTCCATCCCGTATTTTTAGTTTTTATCAAACAAAAACTCCAAAAAACAAGATTTCCAAACCAGTGACTGATGTTTAAGCACAAATAAGAAAACATTTTTGTTGTAACGGAGCAAATAAGTAGTTATTTTTGTTTAGACTTTGTTTGTTTGTTTACCTGGAGATGAGGAACATGAGCCTGTCGGTCCAAGGCAGGTTAACAAACTGGTTCCACCATCGATTCACCACCAGAGTCACGTAAAAACCTGCAACATGAGGAGAACCTGAGCTCCTGGTTTCTGCTCCTGGTTCAATAAATAAACTCTGAGTTGGAATCAGGCCGCTTTTAGTTTTCAGCTCTTTAATGATCTGTTTCCATTAACAGCCTGTAAACAAAGGAAGCACTGAGTCCTGCCTGCAAACACATTCACTGAATAATTTAGCCTTTAAAGGGGTTTTAACGTGTCACAAACCAAACAGTCCTAAAAGCAACAGGAAATAAATCTCCAGTGGTGTCTGTGACGTACCCAGGACGAAGGTGACGGGGATCTGCTCGGCGTATCGGTCACAGTACAGAGAAAGTTTCTCAAATAATCTCTTCTGTTCATCAGGAAGAACAAACCTGGAGGTTAGGATCAAAAACTAYTAATTTAATAAAAATTTACACAAGATTTTAGCTTTGGTTTCAGCTGAAGTGAGAGAAAACTGAAGCTGCAGTTCCTGTAATGAGCACTAGAGGCCGCTCCACAAC